GAATTTAAAATATGACAAATTCCTAAAAATATTATGAGATAATATAAAAATTTTTGTTACCAAGGAATGTTTATGGAATACGTTACATTGTATATGAAATACGTTATATATATATATATATATATATATAAGGAGACCTAGCTATTCTTATGTATTTTGAGTCGCTAAATACGAATCTGACATAAAAATAGGACCATCCAGGGCAAATTTTCAATCTAGAGCGAAAAATGGGTCAAAAATGGGAAAAATGGGTCATTTTTTCGCTCTAGATTGAAAATTTGCTCTGGATGATCCTATTTTTATGTCAGATTCGTATTCAGCGACTCAAAATACATATAAATAGTTGGGTCTCCACCCCAGCACAGGGTATTTTTTTTTGTGAGCCTGTGTTATTTTCAATAATTATTTCTGAAAAATAATTTTGCTAAAATATCTCGGGAAAAAATGTTTGATATATAATTATATATAATTATATAAAGTTATAAATAATTAAACATAAAATATGTCCATATATACAATTTTTTTAATTTGGTTAAATATACAGATATGAAAATTTTGTTTGAACTTTCAAAATAATTACGTAGGATGCTTAAACGGTTGCTGAATGTTTAAAGAATGTTAATCTTTCGCAGCATTGTCATCAATGTTTAAGCGTTCTATATATATAATTATTTCGATGGTTCAAAATAAAATTATTTTCAGATCTGTATCTAAGTTTTTAAATACTTTAGCAAGATTGTTCTTCCATTGTGAAACATATACTATCTCTTGCATTTTTCAAAACTCTAATCGTACACACGGCTTTACTTATGTATTGCTTTCTGATTATCTATTTTGCATTTTCTCTTTCGCGGTCAGTGATTTCCAAACTGTGCATTTGTTCACAATATATAAGTTTGTTGTACATAAATTGAATTGTAAGTAATGTTAATATCTATATATGATGCTCGAAGTTATATATTTATATTCTATAAATATATTCTTTTATACTAAAAAAATTCTTATTTGTTTAAATATTTAAAAAAAGAATTAAAGGCAGTTTTGCAGTGAACTGTTCCTAATTGAATACATTTGAAAAACACTGACAACTTTGTTGAATTATATGCTGCAGTTTCTCTCTCTCTCTCTCTCTCTCTCTCTTTCGATAGACTAATTGAGAAAGAAAAGAATCACTCCTCTAATGCGTGCCTCTTTTTTCTTTTGTAGGTAAGTGTGTCGCACAGCGCGCAGCTTTCGCACACCGTCGGTAAGTCATGGCTTTTTTCCCTTAAAAGTTGCAATTTCGTCGCGGATGTGACGTGTTCTGTCGTTCCACATGCTGAGAAGCTCCCCGGTGGTATTACCGCATCAGTCGGTACAGTTGAGAACGCACGAGATCGTTCGAGTCGTGAACGGGTTACCGACGCATACGCGCCACCCGGTATATATGTCGGTGTTGTGCTATTGTCGTACTACTAGCGCGCACTCAGGATTGGAACTACTCTTGCCTGTCCGTCTATGCCTGTCTGTTATTGTATCCGATGCCGCTTCCGGCACCTTTAAAAATGCTTGATGTCGCGTGCAACTCTTTCCTTTCGTTAAGCACCACCAGGTGGGTATGACAACTTCATTCATTGAAGTCACAGTATAACTGTGCTGAAACTTACACTCATCGTATCTTGCAACACATAATTATGCGTTATACATTCTGTTGGACAGATTATATATTCATGAGTTAGACTATGGATCAGTAATTATATTTCATAATTTACACATTGCGACCTCGATCTTTGAACAGCTTTGAATAATTTGACGAGATTGTACCAGAATTTAGCGCTAATTATAATCATGTATAGAATAAGTATTCATTACGATTACGTGATAATGATCATACGAGGCTTTCCCGATGAATTCACTGCACTTATTAAATAGCTATATTTCGTTATATTACACTACTATTTATTTATCATTATAATTATCATTATTATTTTTGTTACTATTGCTGTTGTCATTATTGTTGTTATTATCATTGTTATCGTTGCTGTCATTGTTATTATCTACATGATGTTTATAACGAATACAATCTATTGATAAATAGCATCGATCTTTTTGGGTATTACGCAAATCGTTTATAGAGCCAAGCGATTAAGTAGCAAACTGCCTGCATCGTCCGTCTAACGCGATACTATACTACTTTGCCATTTAAGTAGATTGGTCAACTTATATCTTTCGCTGAAGATAAGTTTCTGCGTTAATTACAATTTCCATTCGCGACAATAATAGAAATTGTTAATTAGTTATCACAGTTAATTGCAATATGCAAAATATAAGTAATTATCTTTAATAAATTAAATAAGATATATTTTTTCTTTTCTCTACTAATTTTTAATTAATTAAAAACGTTATAAATATACATTTGTAAATGTATAGTTATTGTAATACTTTTTGAGATTCTCTATAGATTAATAACTTCAAAGTACAAAATGTTATTTTTTAAAGGACGAAATGTTATTTATTGCATTTATAAATACCACAAATTTACTTAAAGAACTCAACTTTTAAAAACATTGTTAATCCTTTTTTTGCAACATGAATGTGAATAGTTATTTCTAACGTATTTTTATCTATTGAATGTGAATCCATTAATCAAATTTGACTATCACGTTACTATTGTGAGAAAAATACCGACAAAGAGACTAAAAAAACCGACAATTTGAGAATTTTTCATGTTGTAGCTTCGACAGCAAATTTTTTTTCGAAATTTTATTAGCGCCACACAAAAGTATCAATTTTTAATTTTAAAATGCATTTTATTTTATTTTTACTTTTAATTTTATGGTTTTTTATTTTCGAGATGATAGTAATTTGAAAATAGTTCTTTTTCCAAGTAATAAGTATATGAAAAAAATATATATATAGGTATATATTTATAATTTTTAATAGCTATATTTTTATACTATGCTACATCTTTATGATTTATACTTTACATTAATAGTGGATTAATGCGTTATAGTAAGCTGAAAGAGACATGCCGTATTCAGCCGCTTTAGCAGACAGATACTCTTTTACGGCTTGTCAACGTTACTTTTACAAAGCGGGAAGTGAATAGGGAAAAAATTCGATAACGAGTGATCCACATTGCGAGAAGACAAAGCGACTATGCAAAGTGAAATGTCAAGACCGTGATACGTCTCATTTCGTGGCAAGGATTTTCTCAACTGTCGAGTTGTCGCGACTGCGAAAGCGATTGGCGACACCATTCTCGTTGGTCTTCCAAGAATATTTGGTAGGGATGAAATGCGTTTATCGCCGTTTATCAGACGCGGTTAAGAGAACAATGAGGAAGCGAAGGGACTCTCGCAAGCAATTTACGCAATGTGTGCAGCGATAGCTCGTTTGACACCTGCCGATACTTAACAATGGAAGATTCACAAAGGCACGTGGTAACTCCTCGGAACTTTACTCCGCCGCGATACAAAGCGTATTGTACTCGACGCTTTCGATCGTTGATAGTGTTCTCAATTTTTCTTGCACAATCGTTCTCTTCCCGCGTTCTTGTATTCATTGTAGCCGTCATTCATTATATGTTCATTATTTATGCGACGTATTGTGGCGCGCTGAAAGAAAATATATCCTTGTTGAATAAAATTTTATATATACTTACGGGGATGCTGGAGTTATCCTGTTTGACCGATAAAATGTGATTAATTTTCAAATCCTCCAATCTTTAATTACAATTACACCAGAAAAATCCTTTTGCACATAATTGAAGTATGGACAAAACACAGTGCGCAGACAATAATTTCATACGAAAAACAAAAAGAAATTGAGAAAAAATTATAATTATAATATAATAATTATAATTATTATAATTATAATAGTTTCGTTATCGGCTTCTGCAGTCGATTCGTGATAACATACGCTGTATATGAGAATTTTAGACTTTCTTGTTACTTTGTATCGATTTGGATCGAAAACGACATTTTTCTCTTATTGTAGGTGTTTTAACAATTAAACAGTATATGAGAAATAAGACTGATAAAAATAAATCTAATTAATTTTTATAATTATACCATTTGATGGAGCAAAATTGCAGCTTTAAACATCTGTTTTCTAAGTTGCGTTACGATGATTTTGAATGGAGTTAGGCACAATCAAAAAGTTAAAATGCTCCTTTTATTTAATCTGGATAACTTAGTAACAAAAATCTTAGCAACATTAGAAAAAAAATGATTTTGTAAATTTTCTACTTTATCAAACTCATAGTTTTCTATAAAACTAAAAATTCCAAGCTCACGGAAACTTGAAAGACACAGTGACCTTTCGCGAAAATAGAAGTTTTAAACTTTCAAACTTTTTTTTAAATTTAAATTTTGTTAATTTTAACGAAGTTACGTATTGCTGTTTGAATTTTAAAGTTCATAGCGCTACGAACTTTTGTTCCAATTACCTAATATAATTCAAATGAAGAATCATTTGCGGAGCTCTGGACAAGAGAAAACGTAATTCGGAAAGACAGAGATGAAGGAGAAAAAGCTTAATAAAGAAAGAATGTTATGAAATGCGATAGAAAGATCGAGTATGGCAAGAGGCATTCCATTACATCAACGCGAGTTTGCTGCATAAAAATAAGAAAAAGATGTACGACGAAATAGCTGAAAAATTACACTGAGAGAAGAAGGCGGGCAAGAAAAGACGCAGCTAATATAAATAGATGAATACTAAAATACTAGGTTTTCTTCCTAGTACCAATCCATTAAATAATAAATAAATTATATCGAAATAAAAATAGAAAAATCAATTTTGAAAACAATTTAAAAATGACATAATTCTTGCATATGTAAACAACTTTAAGTAGAACAGTAATAAATAATTCTTCGGACATAAAAAGAAATTTTATATAAATATATCATGTGATTTTTTATTGCCTCGTATTTCATAATAAATTTTTACGATTTTACGAAGAAAAGATCTAAAGACCGAGATTAGAGAAGGAAGCTTTAGTATAACCGAAATAGGCCATGAGCGAAAGTTTAGCACGAGATAAAAATGTAGGACTCCTCGGTACCACACCAATCTTGTGGAATAAAAGGGTAAAGTCGAAGGGAAAGAGAATCGGCACGAGTAAGAAAGAAAAGACTACACTGTACAGTACGCGAGTGCGAGGTGCTGGCGAGGGCGAGGGCGAGGGTGCATGGACCTGCGCGCGAGCGACCGCCTGGAATTCGCAGCATTGGCTGCGCGAGGGCGCGTGGTGGATCGAGGGTGTCAGTCATAGACCATCTGCTCAGCGACGAGCACGTAAGTTAGCAGAACGTACGGTAATCGCTATCGTCTATGAATGAAATGACTCGCTGCAATCGCACGCTTGCTCGTGCGTCGCGACGCGACGCGACGCGACGCGATGCGACGCACCTCGCGGCGATCCGATCGTACTTCCGGAAACGTCGTCGTCGTCGTCGACGATGACGAAGGGTTTCCGCTTCCGCGGCGGACCGCGGCCGCGAAGTCCGCCGGCGGTTTCTGTGATTTCCTCAAAAATGGCGGGTATCAGGCACGAATACCATCGACGGCGCCAGCCCCGTTGGTTCCGCCTCGAGGACAATCGCGGGGGATCGCGGATTGCGAGTGTTCTTACGGGTCGTCAGCGACCGACAACTCGTTTCCGCCGGACGAGCCGATCGCGTACCTTCGCCGAGTGGTCAGTGAGTTGTTTCGAGGAGCACGGTGTCCGTTCCTGTCTTTCCTTCTGGCTACTCTTTCCTCTTTACCACGCTTGCCCTATTATATATATGTGTATCTCTTCATTCTAATTGTTGTCGCTAGAAATGATGTTTTAGATAAAGGGTAGATCATTCTCTCCTGCTAGATTTTTACACGGGATTCATAAGACGGTACCATTTTCTATCAGTCTGAATTCTAAACATTGCTCACAATTCCTCTCTGTGTCTTTTTGGTGACTGTTTCCTCGATGTAAGATTAATTTTTTAATCATATTTTTTTTGGTTTGACAGTTTAGGCTACTTCTTTTAATATACCACCTTTGATAGAATACATTCTATTATTAATTTCAAAGTTATGTTATGTATTAAAAATTAACATAATGCTACTCATAATGCAAATGTGTTTAAGGGGCCTGTTCTGTATTTATTTGTCTGAGCAGATTATATTGTTATTCGAAAACTTCGAGTTTTGTAAGAGAAACATTTCGTGCAAATTGGAAAAAAGTTTAGGATCTATTAGACAATATTATTGTCGTTAAATATAATAATAATGTTAAGGACATAAACGAACGAGACCCGCAAAATTTACATTTGTACGATGCACAGTGGAATAGTAGTCGGCTTATAAAGTATAGACGAGTATAATTTGATGTTTTCACGGGGGACTCTTAGGAGAGAAAATCATTATTCGCGATCCTTATATAATATAAAAATATTACGTTTGAAATCTGTGACACACATTTTCACAAAACAGATTTTCAAAAATAAATTATTTCTTGTTACATTTCATGAAAATTACGTTATACAAATTTGAAAGAAAAAGTAAAATTAGAAAATATTGAACATATAATAAATGGCCTTTTTTAATCAAGCTTTCTTATTGAATGCGTATTTTTTATTTTTCAATTGCTTAGTCGTAATTTTGAAAACGCTTTGCGTATCTAGAATGTTAATAAATTGCTATCGTAATATAATTATATGTATTAAATAATTATACCTGTAATTATTTAATTACAGAGTTCAGTATTATTAACGTTAGAATAGTTGATAACCCTTTTATATACGCGCGATATTTCAGATACATATATTTTAAATGATATCGTGTGATTTTCTTCGAGAAACAAACACATGTTATCATTTAAATTCACAATTGCACCTTTGATTTTGGCCTAGAAGTAGCTCATTATTTCGTTATCAACGTAACGAAATATTTTTCGGAGTGAGCTTCGAAGATTTTAACGAGCGAAAGTTCTGATTGTATGAAATTTCTAACTTTTCGCTCTTTTAAGAGTAATAACGATAAATTGGAACGTTCCCAGTACACTATATAAAACCGCGAAATTGAGAAGCTACATTACCGTAATGAGGACTTTGCTATATTGCGATAACTTACAAACATCGTTGTTTAAGTAAAAACTATGAGAATTCAAGGCTAGCGCGAAATATGAAACCAGCATTTAAACTTTCATGTTGCTAAAGAGCTTTAAACGGAATTACATTGCATGCATGTCGCACGCAGCGAAACAGTAATTAACTAAATTACAAATTATATTGTATCGCGCCCCAAAAATTCGAGGAATGTGAACAACTAATGAAAAATCTACCAATTATTATTTGTTGTTGCAGTTATTAAATTCCTACAATTTTGTCACACGAGAGGAATTAAATTATATATGCAAAATATTATTTCTAGTTATTACAAATTGGAATAGCAATCGATAATATGAATGAAAACTGAATTATATTTTCTGTCCATGTAACTATAAAATAAATATTTGAATTGATAACAAGACAGATAAACTAAAATATACATTACTGTAGTGTTAACTGAAATATGAAGGAGAGAACTTTTGTGAAAATATTAAATTTTGAATATACATCTTGAACATACACATCTTCGTAATAATATAATTTATATTATCAAGATATGCAATACTTAGAAAATATTTTTGAAAGAATTTTCGATTCATAACTTTATTCCAAGACGCTCGTCACAGAATCTAGAAAGGTTCAGGTTCGAATTTTGACTGAGGTAATGTTTTTAACAATAAATTCTTTACAATATTTTAAGAGATATTCATTATATCACTTATTAATTTAAATTTGTCATATTACTATCCCATTTTCAGTTCAAGACTGGATTTTAAGATTGAAAATTAAATCCATAGTATACAGAACTAGATATATAAATTTACACTAAAATATTATACCAAGATCTAACTTAAATCGAAAAAGCATTTTTCTACTGTATAATTTCCTATTGTATAATTTTTGTATTATTAAAAATACAACTATAACTACAGTAATCATATATCATATTTTATTACACAATTTTATTAAAATTATTTATATGACATTTGTATTTATATCATAGCCACGCATATTATACACCGGAAAATGTCTGGTTTACATTAATTGAAATTCTAGTGGAAAATGTACAAATCAACATTTTATTAAAAAGTTAAATCTATCAAATTCTAATCAAGATAATCGTTGTCTGATTATAATGACCAGAATTCTGATTGATATGATCAAAACCTATTGGTTCATTTTCAATCAGAAATTTTTCTCAGTGTATCATATCTTTTTAATTATAATTTAAATTTTATTTTTTAATTGTTTTACTCAAAAACAATCATAATATATAATTGAATTTTGTTGAACGAGAATTTTGTTGTTCGGTATTGATCAACAGTTTATAGCGATTGAACGCCCTTTTGTATTTCTTTCAGTTCATTGCCGTTGAGATTTCGTAGTCCTTTTTCTTTTTAAACTGATGTGTGATCGTTTTTTACCTTTATCTCAATAACAAATGAAATCGTTCTCATATACTGTCGCAGAAATAATTCGAGTTTTTTATATACATGCGAATTTCAGTTCAATTAATCAACGCGTGATACTCGACGTTGTTGTAGTGAATGATACATTTTACATTAATCTTTTCCCATATAATAAATGGTGAAATAACAACTGGAGGAAAAAAAATACCCGTTGACAGGTATTACAAAGGGCATGCAAATAAATGCATGAAATATCTACGTTATGCTTTTCAACGGTTAACTGAAGCGACAAATAGTAAAATTCTGCCTTCTATATCCGAGAATTCAAGCTCGCACTTTCATTTAATATTTGATCGATCTCACGAACATCGTACATATTCGTGGAAAACTTATCAGCGTTTTCCATGTGCTGCAAGGAAAATGATATCGCGAGAATTAATACTTGGAATTCTTTTCGAACGATGTCTATATTTATCGTCAGATTTTTCAAATTTAATAAAAATTATTAATAATTAGGAAAAGATATCTGTTGAGAGAAAGAATGATAATAATAACACAAATAATGATGATGTTGTTTTAAATAGAAATAAATTTTATTTATATATTGTGTCGTTTTATGTTAAATTAGAAACGCATAAAAAAAGATAATAAGACTTAAGCAGTAAGCAAATCGGCCAATTACAATAGAGAACGTAAAGTATAATTCTTACCATAATCTTATTTAATTTAAATAATCCGCGTGTCTCTCCAAACTGAAAAACTGGGTCTCAGAATAAAAACTTGGTGTTATACAATATTAGGAAATTTACATGATTGAGAAATGTGCTCAATATTATTCAAGGTACAGTGACATAGAGTAATAAAGCAGGGCATTACAATTCGTAATTACAAGCGAACGGTCAATGGCAGAAACGTTTTGCGGGACGGCCAACTCTCGTGCAGTTCGATATCGTAAGTAGGACGTGAACCTGGATAATTGTGCGCGCGCACTTACGTGCGCGCATACGCATGCATATTTCCGTTTTCCATCTAGGTACAAATATTTCGCAAAGTGTTCCGAGTCGTGGAACATCACCGAGATGATACGTTGTCGATCGCGATATTAAACTTTGATCAGATCTGTGATATCACGCGCCATCAACTGCGTTCAAGAGTCATTATGGTGGGCATGCAGTTTCTTTGTATTATCGGCAACAGGTGTAAATTTAGTATATAGTGGACTTTGTCTATGTCCACTTATGTACCACCTGATCGCCCGAAAAAGTTGATTCACTTGAGAAAAGTTATATTATTAATATAGTGCGATAGCACCGTTGGAAACTTTTTATCTCTTAAATTTTGTTTCAGTAATACACGTTAGTTTCCTATATTTATGAATGAAATGTATCTAATGTTTGACTATAATCTCATTATTACAATATTTAATGTAACAAGTAATTATTATAATTGAGTTAAAAAATTAAGTAATTATTTTTTATTAATTTATTTTAATCAAGATCGGATTGTAAAGTAAATTTAGCTTTACTATAAACAATATATAGAATTTTACAGTCGATATGTTAAAAAGAATTTTTTTTGTACGATTTTTTTTTCCAAATGTGACTTAGTGACATGAAAAAACGCAAATTTCCGATGAAAAAGCACATCAAACGTGATATCGCGACGCCTGCGGGCAAGAACAAAGGGGCACGATGTCGCGATGCAATCCGTGGGGAAGGAAGGGAGTCAGATTTAGGTACAGAGGTCGGAGGTCAGAGATCGGAGGTCGGAGGACGCGAAATGATGGTCGGAGGATGGGGCCGGGGGCCGGAGAGGCGGGGAGGGAAGAAGGGGGCTGCAGCCTGGGAATGATCAATACTACTCGTACGCCAAGTTCCCACGAGAGTAGCGAAGATGGGTCGAGGAGCACGAGAAATTGAACGTTTTCGATTTGCGAGAGTGATGAGAAGCTCGTTTACAGGGGAGTAGGGAGGGGGACGTATAAAATGATTTCCTGTCCATTGATACTTCGCTCGTATTGTGCTACACGTCTCAACCTCTCTGATTCTCTCGGTGGTGTCTCTCCTTATTTTTTAAGATAAATTACTAGAATGCTATTCAAATATAAAAAATCACGTACACTTGGTATATCACGGCAATGGACAAAATTGCGTTTGAAATTCATGTTTTCACGAATTTGAGCGCATTCGAACGCGGATACGCAATTTTAGCATTTTATTACGCACTCATCTCTCTCTGGAGATTATTTCAATATATCTGATAACAGCCACTTTTTCCGCTAGCTTTATACAAACGAAGTAATAAATTTCATTTTATAAATTGAATTAGCTCCGAAGTTTTGTTATCTTTATTTCAATCAAATTTTAATATAAAAATTTCGTTTTATCAGTATCGTACGTGATGCAAATTTTAGTTCTACATGGCGTATTTATTAGTAAATGTAGAATTTATATTTTTTATTAGTACAAATTTAATGAGGTGTTGTTATCCGTTAAAATTTTTTTAAATAAATATGTTGATATAATTTGAAGGTAGCTTCAAACGTAAAATTGACAAAGTTTCAAGGACGTATTAGATCGAAGAAATTGAAGAAAAAATCTCTCTTTTAGTTTATCTCAAATGAAAATTGCTCTTTAACAAAAATTTATAATTTTAAATTTAATCATGCTCTTAAAATAATTTATACTGACAATTTTTAAGCTTCGTAGAAAAGATTGATATTAAATTCAAAGAATGTACCATTAAACGGAGAGATTGTGAATTAAGGACGCTTTGTAGTTAAAATCCATTTCCTGAATATGCAAATACTCTTCCGCATAAACCTGAGATTATATTACTATTCCGTGAATTATTCTTACAGTTTCAAAAATATCGTTCTTTCTAAAAAGGAATACTTGATAGTTTCCTTCTCAGTTGTTCCTCGAAAAGCCACCCGTGTTACGCGTAGCGAAATATTCAATTGATGCCAGTTCGCCACTGCTATCGATTTGTCATGGATCAGCGATGCGCGACAGAGATTCTCCGATCAGAGCATCACGGTGGTGCAAACGATGTGTGTCGCTCGTTCGCGTGAAATGCATGTTGCCGGGCGACGGCGCGACATCATGACCAATCATGATGTCCAATAACCCTGAAATATTAACGATACGTGGTGCACGTGGACTCTCAAGGTTCTCTCTTGGTCTCTCTCTTTCTCTTTCTCTCCTCTAGGCGGTTAGAGAAATACATGAGTGCGGAACACGACGATGGCGAAGTGCGAGCACCCAAGCGAGTAACCGATTTCATGATATGTTGCATTTTCACATCATACGAGCGTGGAATTTCGCGGCATGCATCGTCGCACGAGTTTCGTGAGTTTCACTAGAATGCTGAGAATGATACGTGCTTGCGGGACATTTGATTCAACGAGGATCTAACGCATATTTGGGTTGCGAAGTCTCTTTGCAGAGAGATAAAATAGATATATAGGTACATAACAGAGAATGATAATCGGGAAGTTGCTGTGAGTTTTGAGAAACTCGTTCGACACCGGAGCGGACGTGCTTTCGCTTCGGTCCGAGTATTGCATCTTAATATTTTTGAAAAGTATGGCCGATTTCGAATTTGTATTGTATTCGTATTGAAATAAATTAAATTATTCTGTAAAAATAATCCCATTCTGTTTTTATAGCACACAACGTAAAAGAAGAAAAATTACAAGTTTTTTTTACAATATTTAATTTATTTCATTAAAGTGTTTGATTTATTTTATTTGGTTTGATTATGTCATCAAATAACAACGACTTAGTTTCAGCAACTTTTCGATTGTCAATTTATAGGCATAATTCAATTTATAGGCATAATTCAATTTATAGGCATAATCAAAATTTCTGTTAAAATAAATTACGTTTATTAACATAAAATGAAAAGAAGATATTTCATCTTCCAACTTTTTCGGTTTACATCCTTGAAATTTTGTTTATTAATTTTGCGTTTAAAGCTGAGTTATCAAGATAATTTATTTCTAAAAATTTTAATAAATAATGAATATATTTATGCTAAATATCCCGCATTTATCATGTCAAAGTTATCGATTAAACTTATTCCTCTTAATTCCCACACGATTTTTATACTTTTTCGTTGTATGCTTAAGCTACAAAAGAATTTTTTGTTTCATTTTTAAATCGATATATTCCTGAATTCTAATATACTTTTGGTGTTATAAACAGCGTCAACTGGATAGTTTAATTGCCAAGTGTCGTGATCTACATTATCCTTATTTCTTGCCCCGAAAATAAATTCCTTTCAATGCTCTCCATCAATTTATCGACTTCCGGTCGACTCCTCCGCGGGAAACGAGTTGCTGCTAACGCGATTGATTATGCGAGTCTCGCGTGTAGAATGTAGACTGCGCGCGTAAAAGCAAGCCACGAACCACCCTCTCCTTTATCTCTTTCTTTCTAGATCGATGGTTGTAATTAGGATAATCGTCGGCTGATTGACGCAACGGCACGCGATCATAATCACAGAGAGAAGTCACAAGGAGCACCAAAACCGTGAGAAATCTCGCCGTCGCATCCTCGCGAACGGAACGGAACGGAACGGAACGGAACGGAAGAGAATCGAATTGAACGGAAACGGAAACGGCATTGTCGATTCAGAAGCGCGTAATCACCACGTTACAGCGAGGCAAATGTTCCCGACGAGCTTTCGCGAGATTCCGCCGCCGAGTAGTACATCCAAGAAAAATCGCTGCCGTCGCCGGCAGCAGTACGACATCGGCATTATTGCCAATGCACTTCCGGTACTATCAATCGGACCGTCGCGATGAAGTGAGTCCTACCATTGACTCATTGGCTCCAACGACGATGCAGTTCACAACCGTCGGTTGTATCCGCATCCAAGCTCTTAAAACGTAATCGATAGTGTTCAGCGTCCGTCGCGTGTCGTCCCAGGTCAACCGATTTGAACGCGCTCCGTTTAAACGAAAGACACCGGAAGCGGGAGTACTTGCAGTCGAGAATAGAGATACGTTAAAGGGAATAGATCGGGGTCGAGAGACAAGGGGTCTTGCGACGACGTCGGCGGTGAGAACGGGAACGGGAACGAGAACGGGAACAACGACGACGATAACGATACGGGGCGGTAGTTAAACGATAACGACAAGAGGATCCTGATAAAACGAATATAGTGTGATCACGACGTTATAGCGTCGGTAGCTTTCGCATAAATTACCATACGTGTATATACAGGTAAATGCATACGAGCGCACAAGTATATAAGCGAAACGAGCAAATATACCTTCAAATATTGTGATACGCATACGTAACTATAAGCACGCGCACGCAGGCGTGTCGATCGACAAGCAATAAGAGCAATAAAAAGATATTATACTCTGTCGGATCGGTGATTCCTGTCACCCTGTGTTCGAAAGAAGCTCGTTAGTCGCTAAACTGATCGACGGGGTTTACCCTTTATTTTACCGGGACCGTCGGAAAAGAGTGCACCGACGACAAGATGGCGTTCGCCGCGGCAAGGATGATCCTCAAGGACAAGCGCAGGAAACCTAGCAAAGAGGACTTCGCACCGCGAAACAGAAGCAAGGTAAAATCGCATACGATCATGTGTATCAGACTGATTCTGTTTCATCATTCATGTATCGCGCTCCATAATCGAGCGGCGAAATTCATCAGGCTGAAATTCCATCCGGGAACAAATCGCGTAAAGGGGGAGGCTTCTTGGCAAGTTCTTAGTCTATGTGTATACATATATCATGTATGCCCTGAAAGGACGATTTAACTCGCATCATCGATTCCTGAGCAATCGGCGATCATTTTTCATTTTGAAGGGAACACAAAAAAAAAGGCGGTCTTATAGACTACTTCTGCAAAAAAGGAGAAAAGGAGCGCGAGTAAGGGTAATCAAGAGGACATTGACACACTAAACTATGATGTCATTAGAGCCGTAATTACATTAGCGATTACGCGACTGTGATCGGTGATTAACGATTAATTACTTTTCAACAACTTAAAGTAAAGCAATCACCTTTAATTGCTCTGATTGGTTGTAAGTAATCGCCAATCGCTATTCACAATTGCGCAATTATATTAGTGTGATTATGGCTTAACGCGCACCTTTATCGCAAAGTCGTTGTTGTGTTAGTGGAGTTATTGCATATGCTTGACTTTCCCATGATGACGATAATTCTTTTAGATAGCATGTGAGAGAAACGCTGGGGAAAATGCACAATGATGTTATCGACGCGGTAGCTGAATCACGCGAGACGTAAAATAAAAACGTATTGTTTTTATTAAGATAATTAATTTCGCGAAACGATCGTTGCGAGATACGAAACTTACCTCTATTTTGTCGAGCATCGGAGTGAGTGCCAAGTTTTTTAAGAGCGAGTGTCGGGTTTTTTTTAGATACGCAGGATTGATTGAAACATCGCGCCATGTTCCAATTGAAAACCGATATTACGAAGCTGATAAATGCAGACTTTAATTGCCAGGAAAACAATTGTATGTGGTCGTCTAATAATACATTAAGCGACTATGCATAAAAAGAGAGCCATTCATATAAATTAACTTGAAAGGCTAGATTTGCGTATAATAAAGCCATTCTGGATTATACTGTTATAAAAACTAAATATAATTTCTAGAAAGAACTAAATGTTAAATCTACCTTTAAATTATTACAGGCTTTGTTGCGATTTAATTCTTTGTGGATTTAAATATGAAATAATTATAAGAAAGTAATATATATACATAGTTATAATCTGTATTTTCTTTGTAGATATATGTAAGAATTTTGAAAGATACATTTAAGAATTCCATCATTTACAATAAAAATTTATTGGAAATGCAACAAACAATAAAAATAGAATTTGAGCATCGTAAAGATTCGAAGAGCCTGTAGCAATAATCAACGTGATATAAATGCAGAGCTATGGAAATATTTCTATAGTAGATGGCCAAAGAACTTATATCTTCAGAGAAAAAAACTTGATAGAGAAAACCGAAAAATAAAATCACAGTTTTATTGCTTCGATCCGTCGTCTTTAGACATATAGATAGATAGACAAAAATATATAAGTATAAGACAAAAAAAATATATAAGTATAAGACAAAAGTATAAGACAAAAAGTTGAAGACGCTGTCCGCATGAATTTATTACAAGTTAATTCGAGGGAAAAGCATAAATAACGTGTAATTCACACTTATATATACATATGATTAACACGTACACATCATGGTAATGAAGAAGAAAAAAAGGATTTTCTTTGACAATGGTCGAACGATATCGACTTTTCGAAGATTTCACACACACATACGCTTGCACATTGCTCTAAAGTTCTATCAAAATTGCATAACTTGTTCTGTCAACATTCGAGGCATTTTTCCGATATGCGTCCGTTTACGCTTCCGTTATTTCATGCAGCATCTGCACATTATCACCGAAACTTTTTGGGGTTTGATATTTTATTCGTTGATTCGTAACGCGGCGTGGTGTTACATCGTAAAAGCGATCAAATAAATAATTTTTTGTTTTTTAAATATATGTTTTTATTATATTAAGATGTCTCCATAATTTCTAACCGTACAATACTTAAATAGTATATTCTGGAGATTGATTAATTTCAATAAAAATATATTTTAATGTAAAAGTATTGAGGTTGCACTAATTTTCCATATAAACGATCAAATTTAGCACGAGACTATTACATAGAATTAGCGCACCAAGTCTTTAACCGCACCTATATTTACTATTAATTTTCATAGCTCTGGTGATATTGTGATTTTTATTCTTGAGCTGATTTTGTCTTCTCTTACACACAGAGACTATATAAATAACTATATAAATAACAAACCAAATAATAAAAAATTATCTAACGGTTGTTCCGCCGACTCGATGTCTCCAAATCTTTTTCTTTTTTTTTTGTTGTACACAACATCCACATTTTCAAATACAGTTAATTACGATCGTACATTAATCACTAGGAAAGGACAGTTGTATGATATTTTATACGACTTTCTCGACATTAATCACAAGTAACAGAAAAATGATGGATTTTGTAACAACAAAAGAATAAGTTTATAACATGAAAAAGTATGGTAATAATATCTGCGAATTAACACAATCAATCTAGCGAATGAAAGGAAGTCTTAAAACATTATCGATATATAAATATCGAATTTATTTTACACGATTGATAATTATTTGAATACATTGGGATGCTGCTCGAATCCAAATCAATTCGTTCTGTGTCACAATGTTCCATTGATGATTGAAAAATTCGGAAATAATGCAATTTCACTCTAATACATGATACTCAATAATTAATGCTTCATTAAGATATGATGAACTGTTTAAAAATACATAATCAAAATTCAATATTGCACACACAATATGCATCAAGTACATAAATTACGAAATGCATTTGTTGTTTATAAATGATCGATCCATCGCGGTTTTTTATTACACAAATTACTCGATTCTGCGATTTATTATGTACTACATCGAAAAATAAGCAAATTAGGTAAATATATAATTGATCACCGATTTTATTACTTTTTAGATATGTTAAGAGAGATATGTTGTTCTGAGTAATTCACAAAACTGAAGTAGGGAACGATATTGGTTTAGGTGATATAACAAATTAAAGTATCACAATAAGGCATGTATAAAGATATTTAATTTGTTTTTTTGTTATAGTAATGGATTTACATATTTATAATTTTCCATGCAAAGCAAAGTTTAATTCAAACCTACGTGTCTATTTTGTAGTCCTCTGAAGGAGGGTGCAAAGCACACTGCTTCTACGCATACACTTTGGATGCCTTCCAACAAGAGACACACATGACCCGGTGTGACACGGTGCATCATTACATCCTTGTTGTTCTACACCATTGTTAAACAAGGATGAGATAATCACTGTGTTATACGGAGTCGCTTGTTGTAAGGCACCCTTCATAACACAAAGCGAGGTTCCATACGGGTTTACAACTTTCTACGCAAAACGAGGTTCAATCTAAATCTATGTATGGAAAGTTTTACATACATGGAAACTCGCTTTGCATCGTAAAATATATGATGCGTAAAGACATTTCTATTCTCCCTCTCCCCTACAAAGAAGCTCTACTTTTAAAAAATTAAATATATAGGTTGAACTTCGCTTTGCGTGAAATGTTGTAAATTATTATATATAAATCCATAATAAAAAGACACAGTTTTTAAATATCTTTATACAAACCTTATTGTGAAATTTTAATTTATTATGACTACACTGTTCAAAATGTCATGAAATTTAATGTTCTTTTAAGAAGAGAGAGAGAGTTACATAAATTAAATTCAATTTATGACACTAAATTAAATTTAATGTATTTGCAAATGAAAAGTATATTTGTGTACATGTACATGAAATTTAGTGTACTTTTCATAAAATTTTTCGAAGTTATTTTATGTAGATATGCATGAAATTTAATGTAAGTAAACGTTAAATTTATGTTACTTATAACTTTATTTTCATTGAAAACATTAAATATGTTTAATGTACCTGCTTGAAAGTTGCTTCCGTTACATATAACAGTGTTTTATAACAGTGTACTGACCAATACCGACCGCTACTTAATTTTTGCAGGGAATTGCTCAGAACAATCTCTCTCTTTCTCTCTCTCTCTCTCTTTTTCCCTCCCTCCTTCTCTTCCCTCTTTCCTACAATATATCTAAACGGCAATAAAATCGGTGGGGTGTATATTTAAACTGTATTTGCCACAAATTATATTTGAATCAATTGAAAAATTCAGTTCAATACATGGTA